CTTACACAGCTCTCTTACTTTTAAAATTTGAGGCATCATCTCTTGATCTCTTTCATACTTTCTGCTTTGTATCTGTATTAGTCTGTTTCTGTTGCTTATGACAGAATACCTGAGACTGGGTAATTCATAAAGAAATGAAATTTATTTCTTATGAATTTGAAGGCTCGGAAGTCCAAGATCCAGGGGACACAATGGTAAGGACCTTCTTGGTGATGACCCTCTACAGTGACGCATGGTGTCACATGATAAGAATGGCTTGAGCAAGAGAGAGCTAACCTTCTCACTTGCCCTTCTTATAAAGCCATCATAACCACACTCATCACTCCATGAATGGATCAGTCTATTCACCAGGGCACAGTCCTCACAATCTAATCACCTTTTAAATGCCCCACCTTTCAAATACTGTAATCAGATTTCCCACCCTCTTAGCACTGTTACAATGGGGGAGCTTCAATGAGTTTTGTGGGAACTTTCAATTGACAGCAGTGACCCAACCCCCATCTCATCCTGGTGGTGTAATAATGCAGTTATTTCAAATGTCAGTTAAATATATAATCTGCATTGATATTATTATGATGATGTTACTTACCGTTTTTTCACAGTTAAGCCATACATAATGTCCAGCTATTAGTTTTTTCTAGAATTAGTAATTTTCTTACTTTTCTCTCTGCTTTGTTTCTATGTACCCCTCACTAATGCTTCACCAAACCCTGGCCAAAGAATTAAGCCTTCTCAGTATGACTAAACACATCAAGTAGTCTTAACTTCTATTTTACTTTATTTTATAATTATTCTTTATTTCATTAAAAATTTTTTAGAGACCTCTCTCCTGTAGCCCTCTGTTTTCTTGCTTCACTTTCGACTCCTTGGTTTCAGACTTTTCTTCAGCTGCCTTTGGAGACTGTTCTTCACTGTCATCTGAGAATTTGCGTTTCTTTTTTCTTATAAGAGATCACCTGTTTCTTGAATTCCAAGTCTTTCCAGTTTTTTGGTTTACTGACTCATTTTGGTGGAGCACATCTACTAGGAGCTTTCTGAAAAACAAGTACTTGCAAGATAAATTTTTAGTGCTTAAAAGTATCTTAATTGGCTCCTTAGTTGGGTAATCTTCTTCTTAGAAGTAATCTTCAGTTGGAATTTTGAAGGAATTGCTCCTCTGTCTTCTAGGGCAAAGTATTGCTATTAGAAGTCTGATATCAATTTGATTTGACATTTTTGTCTCTGAAAGCTCTTACGATATCTTTATTTTGTGCCACTTGTTTTAAATTTTTTGATAATATGCCTTGAGTTGTGCTGAACATTTAATGGACCCTTTAAACCTGGAACACAGTTAAGTTCTTAAATCTTTATTACTTTAACACTGTTCTTTTGAATTGATGCTTTAATATCTACATAGTGTGAGATGTGTACTTTCTTGGCCTCTCTCTCCCTTTAGCTTTTTCTACTTTTATATATCCAGTTACCACTCATCAATCCATTTTGCATCTTCCAAAAAATATGTTGCTATTTCTTGCCTAATACAGTCTTCTCTCCTTGTTCAACTAACTTTTGAGGAAAAAAATCCCTTGACTGTAATGTAATTTTAATGAGAATTTGGAAGGAAGTGAAAGTAAACACATGCATTTAGTCTTCTACTGTTTTTTTAGAAGACATAGCAAGAATGTCTTAGAAATATTTACTAGTTGCTGA